TAACACTGTTCTATTTTTTGATCAGTGATAAGCATGGTAATGTCACATGAGCATCAAGTTTCACACTATTGGAGACCAACCTTTCTCTTGAGTTCTTTGTGTTCATCTACAATAATACCTCAGTATGACATGTCAACACATACATTGTTCTAGGCTCAGCTGGTTATTTTCTATGTCTCTTTGCGACATTAAACTCCAGATCTGACTTCTGACATTTCAATTTAAGCTGTTGTTGCTCTTATCTGTTTTAGCTTAGAAAAAAAAGTTTTAAAGTACCAACTTTAACTAACTGACCATTCGCTAAACCCCTCCAACAAACATTTTCCAATCATGGCTTGGCAACTGTACCTACTCCAGCTTTAGACCTCTCTGCATGTTACCTCTAGACAGCTAGTGGCTAGCCACCTGTGCTGGGACCCTCCCACCTGTCACTTGCCAGTTGTCATGGAAGGGAAAGCCAGCTATAGAGACCAAAACCATTTCTTATATGTTTATTAATTCTGTTGTATAGTTGGGCATTTAAACATGGGAGTCTATGGGGACTGACTCCCATGGAGCCAGCCTCAAGTGGCCATTCGAGCAACTGCAGGTTTTAACACTTCCGCATTGGTTTCATTTCCTAGCCTCAGAAGTTGGCGCTTGGGCTTAGCAAACATTAACATGTTGTCTACTCAAAACTCAGGCACATTAAGATGCTAAGAACAACATCACAGGCCACACATGCAACCAGACCCACAGATGGAGTCAGTATTATCTATGAGTTGACAGAGATACTGTAACACTACTCATTTAAAGTTTAGGTAAGGGGCCACTTGCAATTGCCTTGATATTTTACAATACATTACCTGTCTTTCCCCTATGTGGCACATGGCATTATAGTAATTTACCATCATTTCACATTAATGTGCTGAATTTTAAAATCTCAATCACTTTCATGTGCATCAGTCTGGACCTGAGATTCTGAGCTATGTTTTACTTCAGGCTCAGATGCGCCAATACCCACAGCAGTTATAAAAAATTTTCAGCAGCTAACATTACCAGTGTTAAAACTAAAATCAGAGGTCCCACTGCTCTCATTTTACAACATAGTCATATTAGTACTAGTGTGATGACAATCTCCATGGATACTGAAATGAGTTTCTATTTTTAACTACTTGGAGTTCATACTATCTAAGTATGTTTTGAAAAGAAGCGTGTGCCCTGCGTCACTTTGGACCAAACAATGCTTGTGTGGTACATAAATCAAAAACTGACAGTCTAATATAAGAATTGTAGAACAAAATGCCTTTACAGTACCTTGTAGCCTTGAGCATTGTGGTTCCGGCTGAAGGGATAGAAAGCTCCCACCTGCATCCAGCGACGACATAACTCTTCACTGGTGTTGTCAAAGAATCCACAGATGTCCGCTCCAATCTGAAACACATCAGCTTGACATTTAGCCAGCACCTACAGTGTATTTCTTCCAATACCTTAAATGTTAAATGTACTGTACTGGAATTATATTTGACATGACATATTAGAAACTCTGAGAAGGGAGAATGTTCTGGATTTAAATTTGAGACCGTATGCTGAAAGTCAAATAAAATATAAGTGTATTATAAATATCAACCCAGACAACTTCTTTAAGAAAACCAGCAGCTAATTTTGAGGTTAAAAAATGTAATGTAGTAGTAAAAAAAAGTTGCACAGATGAGATAAATGGCCACATGTTTGTCTGTTAAAATGTTTCTTGATGTCTCTTCAACTGAATCAATATTTATTGGCAAACAGTAGATGTGGTCACTGATCTTTATTTACATTAATTGCACAATGGAGTTCAAGAAAGAGACTTCTAGTCAAAGGCCAGTCCACAGAGACTGCTTTCTGTTTATTGTTTACTACTGGTCACATTTTACAACAGACTCAATGGGAGGGAATCGATCCAAATCCCATTTCACCTGCTCCCTCTCTCTTTCTCTCAGTGTTTGTGTGAGTGTGTGTGCATGTGTGTATGTACTGAAGAACCTAAAATCTGCTTGTCACAGTCCAACCAGGATGTAGTTGGCATCTGAAGTGCACAGTTGGAGGAGTTTGTGTGCATTTGTGTGTGTGTTCAACTCCCTGTTGTTGTCTTACTATTGTTTGCACTACAGATACACACATGCAAGTACATCGTGGAGTGCACCTGGGTACTTAATAGAAGTGTGTTTTTTTCAGTCTCTGTGTTTTTGAACATGGTGGTGTTAATGCAATGAGATCCAGAGTTCTGACATTTTAAGGGATCTCATCCAGACATACTTTCCCTTGTTGCCCTCTGTCTTTGCTTCTACACCTGCACATATTGTAGATCTCAATTAGCAGCTGAATCCTCTTAAAAAATACAGGGAGCAAAAGCAAGTCAAAAACAAAAAGTAAATCAGGGGAACTACTGAGTGCAACAACCGCATGGAAACCAAACTAAAACTAAACATTCTACATAACTAATAGCTTTTCAATATTTTTCATCAATATTATAGGGGAATCTGAGCCTCAAGTGAAATATACCAGTGTCAGGGAATATTTGCAATAAGTTAAACCTGACTGCATGGACCTCTGGGGTCCATCCATCCATCCATTTTCTAAACTGCTTAGTCCCAAACGGGGTCACGGGGGGCTGGAGCCAATCCCAGCCAGCTGCGGGCGAAAGGCGGGGTACACCCTGGACAGGTCGCCAGCCCATCGCAGGGCACCTCTGGGGTTGTCATTTGAAATTCAACAAAAAAATAATTTTTTCTTCTGCAGCTGTGCTACAGCTATAAAACTGAGAAAATCACAACATGGAACTACAAATAACATCTGCCCAAGTACAAAACCTTGAAAGGAGGTCTGAATTAAACTTAACAAGATCACTCCTCTGCATTTATATTGGTGACAAGGCATCCAGGTAGATTTTTTTTCTGTCAAACTCACTTAATTCAAGCCTAAAACAAACAGTATTTGCCCTTCTGTGGGGGTTTGCTACTCACATAGGGAATGCCAAATAGCCCAAACTCTAGCATGCCAGGGATGGCCCATCTTAAGTCATTCCAGGTGGCGGCATTATCCCCCAGCCAGTGGCCCGAATATTTTCCCACACCCGGAAAGGAGGAGCGGGTCAACATCAAGGTACGGTGTTCTCCGAACACACGCTGTAGAGCTCTGTGGGATGGAACAGAGACAGCAAGGAGAGAAAGAGAGAGAGAGGCCATTAAGATAAAATCTACATAGCGACATAGAGAAAAAGACAAAGCCAAACGGCACATGGGAAAAATGTCAAACACACATATACAAACACACACATGCTCACAGAGTGGAACAAGATACAGAGACATTAGAAGTAGATAAAATGAGAGCCAGCAGCAGTTTTCTTTCTTCTTTATGCATGATCATTTTGTTTGATGAGGAGAGTCAAAGCATAATTGATTTCAACGACAATAGAAAACCCTGATAATGTTTGTAAAATGTGTCTTCTGCCAATAATACATTTAAATTATTGAATAGAGAGTAAACAAAGAAGGGAGTGAGAAACAAAAGAAAGACCGGGTAGCTTTAATACTGAAGGAGTGAGTCAGCAAGTTATCCTCACAGGACTTGTAGCACAGGGCCTGTGGTTCATGTGTATACATCCATATATGTTTGTGAGTACTAAAGGGCTGGATAACAAATACTCATATTGGTATTGCGAGGTTTTAACTGTAACCTCTTGAGTTGTAAGGTATCAATATTTTGGCAACAACATGCTCAAGCAGCATCTTTGAAACTTTTTTGACTTTTATTCTCCATAAATCCATCCACTTTTAATCTTAATATGTGATATACCTCTGCATCAAGGGATGCGCGTTGCATTTGTTTGGCTTTGTGGGGTGTTATTTTCTATCAGCCAAGAAGCCATTAGTGCAGGTGTGTGCTGATTTCTAATTGATGCAGTTTCCCATACCATCACCATTAGTGCATATTAGAATTCTGGCAGCTGATGCCAACTTTAGCCTTGTGTGAAATGACTAGCTGGGAGCTTAGAGATTATAGAAATCCCTTTACTAAGATAAATACAGTATGCCTGCAGCCTTTATACCTCTGTGACATTTAAGTGGTTTGTGTTTTGTGCAGCACTTACTCATGTGACAGGCATCCACAAATGTAGTCATCTGACTGCCTTGACTAATTTGAGTTTTTGAAGGAAAGTCAGATGTGCCCTGGTGATTGTCCTATGCTACTCCCTTATCAAATTGCTCTGTGCCTGCTTTCAATTTTGTGATGGAAACAGATTAGTGACATGCATTTTAGTAAAAGATCACCTCACTCATCACCATGACGTCATTTGTGCCATTTGTGTGGAACACAAGCAGGAAGAACTTTATGGTTTGCAGGTATAATGAGAAACATGTTTGCACTGAAGCTAGCATGGGTGCACTCCCCTATATAGCTGTGTAATTCCCTAAATTGAATAACTTTTGCGTATCATGCCTATATTATATACCAGGGGTGGGCAAACTACGGCCCGCAGGCCACATCCGGCTCGTTGGTCCTTTTAATCTGGCCCGCCGAAGATTGGTACAGGATTGCCCAAATCAAATCATATCATAATTATGACTTATGACCTTATGACCATCATTTGACCTTGTCCTGTAATGCCTGGTGTTCCACTAGGTGGTGCATTAGGTGCAGTGATACATTGACTTGATTTTGCGGAGCCAGGGCTACTCTCAGTTATTACTCTGCTAATGCTCTGAACCCATCTGCAACAATGAGTGGGCCAAAGAAAAGTCGACAGTGAGTGCAGAGTGTTCAATAAGGAATGGACAACTAAATATTTTTTACTGATCAGGGTCTTTCATCTTTCATCTGCCTGTGTGCAGTTTGGAGGTGCAAGATACCTGAGCGTGTAATGTTAATTTTACCTGTGATCCTTTGAATAAATCAGCACTGTTTTGAAGTTACTTGGACTGCCTCATTTCTTAGAGTTAGCATGGTAGCAAGAACTGGCTGACCTTTCACACAACAAAACTATCACCAGACTTTGATGCACTGGCAAAAAAGGGTGATCAACAACACTGTTCCCACTAAAAGTGAATGTAAGTATTAACACTGTAATGCCTTTTATATGTTTATGTTTGATATATATGCATCTGGTGCTGGCCCGGCCCATCTGTCAAATTTTAAAAGTCAATGTGGCCCCTGAGCCAAAAAGTTTGCCCACCCCTGTTATATACGTATAATAAAGCATACAGAAGATTAAATATGCTTTAACCTCCCTAATATTTTATTGATTTTCATGTCAGTTATTACATCCTATCCTGTATCTTCACAGTAATGCTCCCCTGTGGCAACGTGTAAGTAATGTCTCCCTAAACATTTTCAGCACCAGACCCAGATGAGAAATTCATTAACTCACCCTGGACGCTGGGCTAATTAGACCATATTTCTACACTTGTCGCATAGGATCCAACTTGCGATTGCTCTGCAAGAGTCACAGGCTGTGATTTAGCTGAGGGCATAAGTCAGCGCATTGATCCAACAGCGTTGAGATTTTGTGTTCTGACATCACACAGTGCATTTTCAGTTTGCCAGCGCCTCGCTGCTCTGAAAGGGTGGCAGCAAGTTGGCCTCTGTACTGTACCACAAACTGGCCAAACTCTTTCTGTAACCGATTGTGAATATACTCACTTTTCAGTAGCCAGCACCATAGAGTAGCCATACAGACTGTGGACATCATAATGGTTCCCCCAGGCCTGCTTAGCATCCATGCACAAAGTCTTACTGTACATCACCTCATCCAGAATCTCTGGGGGAGAGAAAAGATGGAGGATGTTAAGAGATGGGGTAAGGTGAGAGCAGATATGGAGTAAATGCAAAACTATAGGGTGCAGTTGGAGAAGGCAACAATGAAAAATAAAAAGGAAGAAAGAGAATGAGAGACATTGATAGATACTGCAATAGGAAGTGGGTACAAAGAGGAAATGAGAGACAGAGAGCAATGGGGCAAGGAGATGACTAAGGAGGAGTGCAATAAAAAGGTGGCATCAGGGGAGCAAGCTTTCTCCAGTTATGATCATCCTGTCTTGGACACAGTATGGCGGAGTCAGAGAGTCATTTCCAAGATTCCTCTCTAGGGAGCCACTATTTTAGATGAGCTTTCCTCTGGACCTGAACTTACAGTATGCGCTATTGTGACAAATTTTTTTATGAAATCCTCCGTTTCTTACTGACCTAACCTTAAACTACAATGTTCAAGTTAAAACTATCCAATACAGCTATATATAGTCCACTTTAGTGTTTAAAATTCAACATGGTGTGATGTACCGTCATGTTCTCTTTTGTGGTTATTAAAACTGTATTATAATAGCAAGTACTTAGCGTGATTTTTGGTCAGAATATAGAAAACAATGTCTTACTTGGAGTGTAGGGAGGGTAGTTGAGGTTGTTATCAGCACAGCCGGTTTTTGATCCTTTTTTGAAATTAGCCACCTCGTTCATGTCCTGCCAATACATCAGATGATGTTTAAAAAAACTGTTATAGTGAGTGAGCCAAATCCAAATTCTCAGGGAGGAATCTTCAACAGTACAATATGAATTTCAACCTGTTTGGTGTCAACCTGTGTTTAGTTCTCTGTTTTGTTCTCAATGTTCAACCCGCAATGAAGTAACTGCCACAGAAATTTACAAAAATCTAAGCTCACTGCCCCTGCATGCACACTGTATTTTATTTTTTTTAATCAGTTAGTGAACAGCCAATCAGTGAATACACATCTCCACATTTAGAATTGACTTACAATCCAAAGGGCATCATGTTTAATCTCCCTGTAGAATTGCTGATACTCCTCAACCCACCAATTGATGCAGTTTTCGCTGGTGTAGTCTGGAAACACTGTCTCTCCTGGCCACACCTGAGAGTGAAAGAATGTGATGTGTTTACAAGCACTTTTTTTTTTGAAAAATAGTTTTGGAATAAAACTCTGTGAACACTAGTTCAGCACTACTGAGTGAGCGTCCCTGCTTGATGGCATTCTCCTCAGGTTTTGTTTCGGCAAAGCGCAAAGCTGTACTTTTTTTTTGAATGAAAGTCATTAAAGAGTGTAGTATTTTTATCCTTTTTTATTCCATGTTTTAAAAGCATCTGCAACATGTCCTACTAGGCAAGAGCCTAGCCAATACACAATGCTGCGCATGGAAACAACATTATAGCATATGATCAGCTAAGATAGTGTGGGTGTAGTGAGTTCCACAGACACAAAAACCACAGACCTATGGAAATGTCAGAGATTTCAAAATGACAAAGAAAAGAGAGGAGAAGAGAGATGAATTAAGGGAGGAGGTAGGCACCAAAGAGAGGCAGAGAGAGATGGCAAAGAAGAACGGGGATACAGGGAGAGATGAGCCAAGGAAGCGCACAGAGGAGAGGAAAAATCGATAATGCAATAGAAATCTCTAGACGTGACTGTGTGTTAGAAGTTGTCCTTAATGATATGTATTGAGAAAAATGATTAATCTACAGAGAAATGCGGACATTGTGTGTGTGTGTGTGTGTGTGTGTGTGTGTGTGTGTGTGTGCATTTCTCTGTGTGAATCCTTCTTTAAAGCACAATCTCAAGGTTGCTCCAAACCAACTACCTTTACTTCTACTGCCTATGATTTTACAGCCCAGTTTGGTGCGAAGGCATAAATCACGCTTATGTACGCACACGTGCACACACGCACATATACACACAGAAAGATTTATGGGCAGATTTTTTTGGCAGGTGGTCAGAACTCCAAGGTCAGAACTTATTGATAGTACCCCACAGTTACCCATCATTCTTTTTCCAGCCATTTTCTCCTCTAGATATTGTCTCTCTGATGTCTCCAGCTGTTTACTACAAACAAGTCTGCTGACATTTGTAGTTGCATATCTCACTCCATCTTTATGATCAGTTGTCTGTCTTTATGCTTTTCTATCTCAGTCTGCCTATCTATGTCATTACCTGTCTGTCTGTCTCTCTTCTTCTTCCTGTCTCTGTCTGTCCCTCTGCATGCCTCTGCTCCAGAGTGTACCTTCCATCTTATCTGTCCCTCCTTTTGTGTTTGTCTTTTTGTTTCTTGTCTCTCACTACGACTTAGTCTCTGTGTCCCTATACATGTTCCTCTAATCTATTATTTGTGTCTGTCTGTCTGGCTGTACCTGCCTTTTTTCTGCCCATGTTTCTGTCTGTCATCCCTACCTTTAGACCCACATAGACTCCTATTTCTCTCTCTGTTCCTCTGTTTACTCCCATGTGTTTGTTTCCGAACAGTTCATCTGTACAAATAAGGTCCTGCTCTGATATTACTCGCACACCAAAACATGTGGGCCAACAGGAAAAGTTTTTTATCCTTATCTTTGTGAACAATTAGCTGTCTTATAAGAAGAATAAATGCCAGCCTGCTGCTGCATCTCCCGCATCACTCGCAGAGCAACAGCAAAGGCCATTATGCAAAGATCCTACTGTTTTCATAGCCAGGACACATACAGTACATTCACATGGAAATAAACCAGAATCAATTAACATCACCCACATGCATGCATAGACATAAATCATCTTAAAATAGTGTTTCACTTAGAGAAATGGATACACATAGATGCACACACACAGACTGACTTTTTTATTCTCTCTTTCACATACACAAATGTTCCTAACCTGTGGTGCAGTGATGCAGAACATTTTATGATTAAACACTAACACGGAATCAATGCATATGTTTGACCTGTTATAAAACAGCATGAAAAAAGTGATTAGCAAAGGGGTAGGCCTAATTGTGCGCATAATGAAAAGCAACACTATAAAGACATGGGAACAGACTTTTACCCCCCACCTCCACCTCTCTCTTCAGGGGAGTGCTCTTTAAATATGTGCTCTGTGGGGAAAGGATCAAAAATAGCATTCAAGAGACTCAAAGCTCCATTAGGGAATATTGTGGTTTGATGGTGAGTGTGAGGAACTTACACATACTCATGCATGCAGCACATGCTTATATTACATGGTATATTATATAATGAAAAGGCTCAAACATGAATGGCAAAGTATGTAACAGTTAAGGAATCAACAGTCCAACATAAAACACATTCAACTGGAATCTCTGTCTCTCCAACATTACACTGTGAGGACTCATTATTGGTTTATCAGTTTCATATCCTTGTACAAAAGTTAGAGTTTGACCTTGTACCTTAGTAATAACATTATATAGAACAATACTTAGCTAGTCTTTGGAGCCAAACATGTACCCAAAAACAGGCTCCCTGTTAATAATACTTCACAGGCCTTTACAACTGATATGAAGTTGAATGGAATCATAGATTTATTACTATACGTACTCCAAAGTACCAGCACAAGCTGGTTTAAGACAACTTCTTAGGGTGTGGAGCTGACTGAATATTTTAACCACATTATTCTGAGTGAAATACTTAGGCTTTATTGCAGTTTAACAGTTTTTGAGATGCATTTGGCAACACTCATGTCATGCTAAGTTTGTTTAAATCATGGCTGTTGTAAACTGTAACATTAAGTGAAACAGCAAGTGAAACTTGCAAAGTCTTTTTTTAATGTTTTGCTATACAGTAAATGAATACAAAATAATATACACTCAAAAGATAAGGTCGGTCATTTTCAACACTCCCCATACAGAAACTAAAACCAACAATTATTTGCCTCTACTTACAATTAACGTCTGTCAATCTGTCAGTCCTGGATCAGCCATAGACCTCCATTGTTGTTCAAAAACAATTAAAAAGACATCCCAGAAAAACACCACTGCGCTGGGTGACATGTTTCCTCATTCCGAAACATCAGACCTTGATATTTTTAAAAACATCCACAGATCTTGTCCGTGCACCAAAGCTGTAAAAAGTTACGGCTGTTCAGAGCCTTTTAAAAAATATGTGGGACTGGTGTTTTGGAATGAGGAAACGTCACCCAGTGCACTGGTGTGCTTCACCAATGTGTTTTTAATTGTTTTTGAACAACAGTGGAGGTCTATGGCACAGACAATAAGTGTATCAAGTTCTGACAAGTGTTAGTATCTATATGGTAAGTGTTTAGCATACAGTAAATATAGAAAGTGGCCAGTCTTATCCTTTAATAGCAGTGTTTATTTTGCTTTGCAGCATTCAGCTTGACCCATGTAGGACTGACAAGCCATTTCCACAATACAGACTTGGGACATACAGTCCCTACTGCAGGATGAATGCCTGTTATAATAGGGGGAAATACCATCTGGAGGAGGAGAACCTTTTTATATTCATAAGAAGTAGAAGAACCCAATGAAGGGGTGTGTAAATGCATTGTTTCTTCTTTATGCATGCCTTAGATCTCTCAAATGCAGCTCACCTCTCCTATCAGATGAGTTTTTCCATCTGATTCAGTGACCCAGGCATTCTTCTCAGTCCCACGGTCATAAGGCAAATAGGCAGTATTCCCAACCCTCTTACTGGTAGCTATTGCCGGATCCTGGAGACAAAGGAATACACCCATAAGAATATGAATGAAATGTTATTTAGCAAATCCAAACAGTAATTTTGACTAACTGCAAAATGCAGTATAGAGCATAGATGCCTTCATAGTAATTTTGACATTGTTATTATATGGATTGTCATTGGTTGGTGTAGCCGACTCAAAACATCCATCCATCCATTATCTATACCACTTATTCCTGAATAGGGTCACGGGTGGAGGGTGGGCGGGCTGGAGCCAATCCCAGCTGACACTGGGCGAGAGGTGGGCTACACCCTGGACAGGTCGCCAGTCTATCACAGGACTGAGATGTAGACAAACAACCACACACACTCACACTCACTCCTAGTGGCAATTTAGAGTCACCAATCAACCTAATCTGCATGTCTTTGTATTATGGGAGGAAGCCAGAGTACCCGGAGAGAACCCACGCAGGCACAGGGAGAACATGCAAACTCCGCACAGAAAGGCCCCAGGTCGGCCAGAACCTTCTGGCTGTGAGGTGACAGCGGTGACATAACTAACCACCGCGCCATAATCTCATGTCTAAGTGACATGTTACAACATTCTGGGTTTTGTCAGATATTAAACATAAATTGGCAGTGGTTTGGCCAAGAATTATTGCAAACTGAGAAACGCAAGTGACATTGTCAGCAGCTGTTTTGTGTAGCGCTGGAGTGTTTAAAGCTGAAAGTGTTTTTTTTTTACCAGGATGAGGATGTATTTCTGTCCCTTCTCATGGAGGTAGTCAGCAAACTGAGGCAGCTCGCTGAAATTGACTGTGTCATAGGTGAAATCTTTCTTATCTTCCATGTAGTCTATGTCAGTGTACTGAATGTCCTGCATTGAAAGAAGACAAAATGCTATCGTTATGGGCACATGCTATCATTATGCGATACCTATTAAGAGTATTTCACAGTTGCTAAGACATATTTCTTGAAATCCTCCAACCTTTCGTAAAACTGTAAACACAAAACCCATTTTTCAAACTCCATTCACAAAGCCTCTGACTCTTCTAGCAAAATCAACTAATTGCCTCAAAACTGTTTTACCTCTGCTCAAAATCAGATTATGTACAAACCAGTCAAAATCAAAACACTAATGAACATTCAATACACACTACAAAAAATCAACATCAGCAAGTGATTCAGGGTCACGTGTTGGGGGTCAGCCCAGAAGACTCCATCCACATCTCAGGCAACGTTGTCCCTTTAGTGGGTGAGAATGTGTTTAGAGTTTTGCAAGACAGTAGAATCAGATATGAAAACTGTGTCTAACTGGGTAGATATTGTAATATTTTGAAGTCAGGAAGAAGGATTCCTTAAACTTAATGACTATCCTTAAAATAGAAGTCATTAGATATTCAAAAGCTTAATTGAAAATACTAAAATGCTGGTATGACTTCAATGTATTAAAAGCACATTTGCTGCTTCTGTGAGTGTAATAAATATAAAATGACTCTTGAAGGTACCCAGTCATCCTTACACTGCTGGGCGCAACTTGGACACATCCACTCAAAGTGTACACTATTCAGTATGCCATGAACACACCCTCCTCACAACACTGTACTGTATATTCCCATCTGAGCATGGCCTTTTTAAGCATTTTCACTGTGACTCTCACTGAAAAAACTACAAACATTTTAACTGTTGACTGGACTATTAGAAATCTGATGTGAGTGCAAACAACTTGGCTTGACTGTTAACACATTTTTAAAAATGTATTTTTTTATTTTTTTTATCAGGGTGTGACTTTATTTTTGCTCTCTGACTGTCTGTCATCTGCCCAAATCTACTTCATATCAATAGAACAGATGGTTTGAAAGGCTCTGCCAGATTCTTCTTCTAATGGTAATCAGCTCCAGACATATTAGGGAGAATGTGATAATACCCTCTGTGGTAAATCTAATGGTTATCAAATATGTCCCTAAGTATAGGAGAAGACGCCTCTGCATCCTAATGTCTTTGGAAAAGAAAGATAAATTGGAGATTATCCAAGTGAAATACTGGTTGTGAAATTCTTTGCATGTGAAGTTTTGATAAGATAGGAGTTCAAATCGAGTCCTTGATTGATGCCGTCATTGCTGATGTATAATACTGTTGAAGTATTTTATGGGACATATAAAGATTAGCATTAGGGGTTTAAAAAAATACACCAAATGTCAGCGTTCTGTGTGGAAGGTAATTTTTACAGTTACTGTCAGCATGCCCAAACGAAGATAAGCTGTAAGGTTCATTTCCAAGCAGCTGTCAGCTATAACTGGTATTTACCAAGTGTCTCAGAAAGAAGAGGTGTTCGAGTAGCTTTAACATTCAGATCAGGATGAATGAGATAATGAAAGGAACTTGGTCGATTGATCTTTGATCAGCGCTAACATTCAGTGACACTTGAAAAATAGTGGTCCTGAGGTTGAACCTATAGAGAGCCCAGCGAACTCTCTCTTATTTGCCAGAAAGCTGGATTACCCCATCTAAGCTAAAGGCCATTCCTATCACTCTCACTGTCTGTCCAACTCCTGCTTCAACCTTCATATCACGTCTTCACAAATAATATTGTGGTAAAAGCACTTGCCTCTGGAACCACACAGTGGTGTGTGAGAGGCTCCGAATTAACAAGGGGTGCACAAAGCATTCACCTTGTAATGAATAGATTTCCTCCACATTTCAGAAACTGTTGGTTTTTGAAGTGCGTCTTTTGTATTAAGAAAAGTCCTGCACTCTCAATGTTTGACGTCTGATGTAATTGTGCTTGCATTGCAAATAAAATCAGTAACTGAGATACAAAATATAGACCAATATCAAAAAGCTCATGTTACATGTTTTTATTTCCCAGACTATAATTGATCAATAATGATCTCATGATTCTGATGCTTTTGGTGGATTTTGCCATGTAATTTCTTAGTGACGGGACTGTACGGTTGAATGGTTCCTTATACCTAGTCTGATATGAGTTTTATTGCACAGTTTTTATAGTGATGATAAACACAGTTCATAAACATATGGCAAGAATTAAAAGACTCCATATTTACAACATAAAACTAGGATAGTGAGTGTGAAGGTGTCAAGCACGTGAGGACATGTATGCACCTGAAAATTGATATGAATATCCTGGATAATACTATAATTCGTAGTAATACAGATAAAATGAAAAAATCACAAGAATATGAGGACAAAATCAAAGACTAGGTCAACACTAACCTTGATAGCAATTTTAGCTATGTTTGAAGACAAGGGGATTGTCAGACATACAGTACTGCATACAGACCAATGTTGTGGAAGTAGTGAACTACATTAAACTAGTAGTTCAACAAAATTTTGCAGTAGTTCAGCTACATTCAAATTCCTATAGTAATTAAACAAGCTAAAATTACTTCATACTGCGAGACACTGAACTACACCAAAGCTACTCTGGAGAGAAATCTAGTATGGGTTAACTAGATAAAGTAGTTCAAATTACTTTGGAATAAAAGATCAAATTGACAATGTATGAGAATGTATATGTGCTACAAAATATAATACAGAAAAGTCTCATGCCAGCAAAAAATGCCATTCAGTTAAGCTTATGAACTGAGACATAAACCTGTCTTACATAAAACAATTCCATCTGGACTTTTCACAAGGACACACACAAGGAATGTTATATTTTTGGGGTAAATAAATCTGGATTTTGTATTATCTGGCTACAACTAAAGTAGTAAAAATAAAAAACACTTGCACATGTTTAGACTGTTTGACCAAATTAAGCACAGGCCTAAATATGGGCCTATTGTCTTGTCAGATTTGTAACACCTGACTTGTACAGTCTTAACGGAAACAATTGTTCAACTTGCACCTTTTTAGACAGTGTGAACAGTCATTTTAAACAATGATATAGTCTAAAATATAAAGAGTTAATGCCAAGCATGCAGAGAAGATCTTACATATGGGAGGTCCACAGCACGGTTCCTCTCCACTGTATCCTTGACCACAGTCAGGTTGCCGTAGTCCCACCGCGAAAGCTGGAAACCCAGTGACCAGTAAGGAGGAATGACAGGCCTGCCAATGAGCTGGAAGCATGATTGGACATACTGTTAGTGCTTTTGCTATGCCAAAGCAATTCACAGGATTTACACAGTGGACTTGCCAGGAAAACCGGTCAGTGTATATTTTTGCCTAGAAAATCACAGCCATGCCTCACCTCAAGGAACTCCTGCACCACTTGTTCTGGAGTGTTTCCAAAAAGAATGTAAAAGTCAAGGACTCCTCCGATCGTTCTGTAGGTCACGGCCGGAAGCGGCTGCAGCGTCACCTCTGAAGAAAACACACAAAAGTTAGACATGCCGTGAACATGCTGCTAGTATTATTCTTAACCTATACCCTGCCCTCCTGCCCAATTTTAGCTGGAATCAGCTCTGACCCACAACCCTCAAAAGGGTCAGTGGGTTGGATGAATAAACACCATAAGCTGAAAATGCAATCCCAAGCAACTGTGAGCCAGCAACGCCTCTGTTTTTTGCAGTAGTTTTCCTTATCAGTTTTTATTTTTGTGAGGACTTTTGGTCCACATATAAAGAAACACATCATATCAAAAAGTTTTTAGTTAACAAGACTATAGATATGAGCAAGAAAAACATCTCAGCAGGCATTCCCACTGCTTTCAGTCATCTCCTGTCTAGAATTAAATAGCTATGCAATATTCTCTTTGATTTGTCAGCAAAATGTTTGATAGAGACAACAGATCCATTCCTGTTAGGAGGATGCTGCCTAACTGATTATATTAGTACACTTTCTTATTTTTTATGTTCACATGTAATTTTTTGGCTGTGTTTACACAAAAAGACTATCTATTCTCTTATTCTGCCTTTTCAAAACTTGTGTTGGTGTATCTGTTCATTTCCCTGAAGACACCGTCATTGCTTGTGTGCTTGCATATACAGTATCTATGTGTGTCTATGTACCAGCATGTGTGCGTGCATGTTTTTTAGTTTTATCTTTACCCATAGCATTGCTGTTCATGAGGAAGACCCCAAACGACTTTCCACTTGCGTCTTCCAGACAGAGGAAGAAGGGATAATGTCCGTAGAGGTTATGTGTTCCCTGCGGAGAAGCCAGAGAGACAGAAGAATGAAAGGATATACATGTAGGTAAGAGCATGGCGCAGGGAAAAAAGAAACTTGTTGAAGCTGACTTCGCCACTGTAAAATCAGACTGCCTCATTAGCTTACAAGACACTGAGTTACACTGTAAGCCCTCTGGGAAGGACATCACATATATAGGGAGCACACGTACACATAGCACATGCACATGTCTTAAACCATGCATGCTGCCAAGTACTAATGGAATTATTTGTTGATTTAAGTTGTTACTCTGCTGTTTTTGTGCATGTATTTGCTCCTTACACCATTAGGGAAAGCGTCTCTGGTGAATATGGGCCAGGTCTTCCAGTCTGTGTTATGTCGGTACTGCGTGTGCACATGCTCGCCCAGGCCATAAATATTATGGGATGGGAGCTTAGCAGACAGCTGTATGTACTGGTCTGCAAATACAAGTGGAGCAATTGTAGTGTCAAATCTGAAAAACAAAGTACAGGTTACCACTGAGACATGAAGTGAATGATGTGAGAGAGAGCAAAGAGATGTGGAAATGAGAGGGACAACACATGAGAGAGGAACTGTGAGATACAAAGGAGTAAGAAAGAAAATGAGATGCAACAAGAAAAGAGTGTGGGGGTGGGAATGAGACAAGGATGTGTGGAGGAGTTCAGTTGTAGAAAGAAAAGCCAGGGAGAAGACAGACCATCCCATCAAGCTCTATTAGGCCCTGTGGGTAGTATTTCTCTAGCCTTCAAACCAAGACATACACTGGTAGTTGAAATACTATTCCTAGCTGCATACAAAACAGATATACAGAGACAGAATACACAAGTAAAGATTGTAAATGCAGTAAATGTATATAGTTGTTGAATAGTCAACACAGGAAATTTGTGTACACAAGACAGACAAAGACAAACAAACTGAAATAAAGACTATTTACATTAGTCTTTAATCACATGGCATAGCTTAACACTGTCAGAATGTGTAGCATGACTGGGAGGGGCTACATGTGTAAGTAGCATGTGTCTGAATATTAAGGAGTTTTTATTAAAACCAGAAGCCGCCTATACACTTGTCTGACAGATTAAAGAACAGAACGATGATGAGTATCATAACACTCACTCTCTTTATCTATCCGTCAATACAATTTTATCAAGTGGAACTGATTCCATAATAAATATTGAATAATAGCATGGTGCAATTTTGTATGGTATAAAAAGTAAATATATCAAGCTTGTTGTAGCTGTGCTTTATATTAAAAATGAAAAGCGTTTATATACAGTAACACTATAGAATTAATGCACTGTTGCTCCTGATAACAGCTGCCAATGAATATACAGCACAGAACTTTAATATTAAATCAAAGTGGAATGAAAAGCTCAAGTCTTAAGAAAAGTAAGATTTGCAGATTACTTAAAAAAAAATTAAGAGTAGTTGTGAAAACAGTGTATAAAGGTTTTCAGTCTGTTAATTGTTCTTCTGTAACAGGTTAATCATTGCGCCACTTAAAACTTACACTGAGACAACTGCCAAATTTCAACAGATCACCCCACGTATATAAAAATGCTGGCATTACATTTAGTGATTCATTAAACAAGGGGCCTCATAAAGACAAGCTTGTGACAGTAAAAGCAATTTGATTAATACTCTTCATCAGCTAATCTTAACTGTACTGCTCCAGATACCAGTAGGTGTTGCAACTGTGAACTGTGGTTCAATTTTACAAGATACCACATGTAAAGCCCAGTATCAGAACCAGCCCTTTATCTGCAGTTATTAATAAATCAAATCTGAACTCTGTGATAATTACAAAAGTATTGCTGCTGCTCAGTGGTTGGTCATGTCTGGACAATCTCAAGACTACAATAAAATTGTAAAAATAGAAACTCTGGCTTTCATTCTCCCATATAAGAAACTTTTAAATTAAAAATAATCATGTGCCTGACATAGAAATTTGACATGTGACATAAATGGCAATAAGCTCTGTTTCACACATAGTGAATCACTGAAAAAGACCATTAATGTACAAAGTCATGGTCATGGTAGTTATGGTACCATGGTACAATATGGTATTATATATAGAGCTGAAGTGAAACCTGGACTTTAGGGTTGCGTTATGGAAGAAAAAAAACATTCAACATCTCACTGAGATTTCTAATATGCCTAAAAAGTAAAAATCCAATCTTGAAACATAGCCATTTTCAATCGTACTATATGTTGTGAGTGTCATTAGATTCACTTACAACATAGTGATACAGTATATTTCTTAAAATGTATTGTTGACATTAACATAATATTCCTGTTTTTACCAGGCTTTAATCAACACCATTTCCCAGAAGCCCGGGCCCACCATGGCTGAAACGTCACCGGCTGATGCCAGTCAACTGGTGGGATAATGAACTGCGGTCCAAAGTCAAACGATTGTTGTATGACATATCTTTTTACATTTTTTATAACTTAAGAATTGAGAGAGATTAGACTCTTATCAGAAACACACAGTTAACGTCGTGCTACTTAGACCACCAAAGTTCAGAAGACTAGTAAATAACAAATGTATAACATGTATCACCGTGCTGCAAAGTGATCAAAGTCTCTCTGATGTTAACAAAATAAATTGTTAAATAATCAACTTTCAGTTATTGTAATGGCCGGTGGCCTGTCTTATAAAATAAAAAGTAAAAATAAAAAAATCCAAAGGAATGTGCTTGGTTTTCCGACAATGACCAATGAAAAATGTTAATGAGAGATTGAATAGAGTCACTGAAGCTAGTGGAACAGAAGCTAAGTGGCTCTCTATATTGTATGGTATTATATATTCACCAAAACAATTTCCTGCTACAATGAATGTTTCAACCTAAAAGAACCCTCATCCCATGTACATCTGCAGTCATAGTATACTGTACTGCATAAACCAGTTATTATATTACAATACACAGTAAACATCCTATATATGACTGAAGAAAGCTGATATATATACACAGTTCATACAATCTGCTGTCTGTTTTGTCCTCTTCATTCATTGTTCCCCATAGCAAACAATTCTGTAATTCTCATAAACAACCCCCTCCTCAATTTAACACAAATGAATGCATAACAAACACACGTGAGCACTCACAGAACATTTCTGTTTTCCTTCCGGAGTACAGTAAGGCCAAAGGGTTTTTGTGTGATCTCCAGAGTGTTGCTGATGGGGCTGGATGGGTTACTGCTGAGGTTCTTGATGTGTTCATGCGGGACCTCGAACCTCTGCCTTTGGGCATCATAGATCTGAGGGAAAGGAAACAACCATACAGTGAGCATGAGTGTGGTCTCATGTCTCACAGTCATGTTTGTACTTTGTGGTGTATAGTGCTATTTTTGTCTTCTTTTGTTCTGTACCGCATCCGTGTTAAGTGCGCTTTGATAAAAACTACTTTTGAAATTAATTTAACTGGATGAGATCTATATCATAGTTTCTTCTGTTGTAATAATGTGGATCTGTGTGTAAATGTGAGTGTGGATTTGTGTGCAAGCAGAAAAAGTGTTTCAACAGAGACACAGAGAAGGCGGGGAGTCTTTCAGTTTGTACCTTAAAATGGAGTCGATTGTTTGACTGCATTTCTGCGTGAAATGACAGCTCTTGTATATCAGCTCCAAATAAAGAAGGAGAGGCCATTCTTTTCAATTGGGCTTTAATTTCTGCAAATTTAAACACAACAATTGGAGGTTAAAAGTTCCCTAATATCAAAGATCAAATAACACAAAAATAGTACTGTTATAATACTATTATGTTTTGGTATATGACAAGACTCTCAAAATCAAACTATTCCTTTGATACTTATTACCCACCTCTTAAATAAACTCTGACTAATTTTCTCTATTAATATTCAAGAGGCTTTAAACATGAGTGGTCTCTTTAATGGTCGCAATTTGCCTCGTTGACATCCAGGCTCTAGAGAATAATTGTTGGGTTGTCCACCCACAGCAGCAGTTATTCAGTCAACACAAGTGCAATAAAAAAATAAAACATTTAATCATAGCATTTCAAGTATCTGCTCCCTACGACAGTCCTCAGTCTGAGCCCTGCATAAAATTCATCAGGTGACATGGTATGGGAATCCATTCAGGTGAATTCCCAGGTTATCTGTTTACCACTATGATCACAGGGTGCAATGTGCTTTGAGAGTTATCAGTACATGTAGATAATTTGTTTTTATCCTTAAGCGATACCGCTGCAGAATGCATATAAAAATATTAAAGACAGTTTAACTGATATGCAGAGGAGTGCATTTACTGCAATATATTGGTTAAAGTTACCATTGAATAATGTCGAGTTTATCACAGGCAGGCCAAGAGAAATGCTTTTGATAATGTTCCTCTCAGACTAAGCACTTACTATTTTTCACTCGATACACCTTTGTCACACAAAACAAATATTGTATGTGACTGAAGCTGTTGTAGTTCAGATGCTATATAAACTATCCATTGTTTCTTCTTGCTTTTACACACCAACTGAGTTCACATAAGGCAGTGAAATCAAGCAGAAAATAGAAAAACCTGCATGCTGGAAAGTCAGCCATGTTTTCTAATATGCCATCCATGTCATATTTCACAGAAAGGTATGCCGTGGGCAAAGTGAGAGAGAAAAAGAAAGAAATGTGAAGAAGACATTCAGACTGACTGAATGAAGGTGGAGCAGTTAGAATGAGAAAATAAGCTAAACAGAAAGACAAATATTTTTATCAGTCAGTGAATCTACGAGTGGGAAAGCAGAATAAAAATTTACCATAAGCATTTGAAGGCTGTACCGATTCCACTGTATATCCATGGTTGGTTGGAAAGAAACACCAGGGAACATTCCTCTCATCCAGTGGCTTCCAGCAACATCCACGTTGCTCACATTGTTGCTGTGGAAGGCAGGTTGTTGATGCTGTTATACATTTCTTCATTCTGTCATTGTTGTCATAGCAGCTACTTTACTATAACCAGTCTTTGTAGAATCTTCAGCTTGTACCCATTCTTTACCATGTCTTTAGAAAAACCTTTGCAAACATTATTCTGTGAAATGATAGTGACCCATACCTTTGAGGCTCCACAATCAGGGAAACAGTCTACTCTTTGACCGATTGGAATGTCGGGACACTGAGGAACAAATGTTTCTGAAGGTGGTTTTGTTGTTCCTGCCAAACAATGAAATGTTCAGTCCCTCATTCAAAAGAAAATCTGGTAATCTAAAGATGTAGTATTCAGACTATTTATCAATTTAAGATTCATATCTCTTGTAAGTTATGCCAAATATACATCTCACCTCAATATTTAAAGTGTGTAAAAATAGAAAAGGGGATATACTATATGTTGTAGCCAGTCAACATGTTGGAGTGATTCACTGACCATTATGTTACTCAGGTGACCACACAAGAAGCCTGGTGCTCACACACAGTACTCTAGGTGGCAAGCTACCCAGTTAGCCCTCAGCAGTCGGAAATCATGTTGATGTGGTATGTCAAAGTGTACAAATAATTGTCAGGTCAAAAGAAAGACCTGGCACAGTTGAGCTCGTACGTTGTTTTTCCCCTTATCATTAAACAAAGCATTTGAGTGCTACGGCCGTCTAGCCTAAAGTTTGACCTATGTGTCTGAACTTGACCCAGACCCAAACACTTTTAAATTTCTGTCTGAACCTGGTCCGGACCCTTGGGAATCAACAGGTCCCGTAGGGCTCGGTTTGGGGATCCACATTAAGAATTAAGAAGACACAACATGTGTTCACACTGATCACAATTATCCAGACTGTAGGGTCACGTGTACTCGGATCCGGGCCCAGGTCCTTAATGTGAAAGCACCCTTAGTAGATGATGAAGGATTTTTTTTTTTATTTCATTAAATCTTTTTAAAATATTCACTTACCATTAGTGCCAGTACTGTCATTAGTGTTCCCAGATTTTTCAGTAAAAAACAAAGCTATGACAGTGATGGCTACCACCAACATCAATGTGAACAAGACCATCAGGGTCACTTCCAAGCCTGAGAACCGCCTTTTCCCCATCTAACACACAAACAAACAGATGTACAGACACACAGAGAGTGATTACAAAGGTGAACATCATTAACACTCATTAATTTACAAAAGGTCTCAAAAACCTCTCTGCTTAATGAGGGCTATTGGTAGGTCACACAAAAACACACATGCACAAAACAACCAAACACATAAACACATGTTTTTTTCATGCATTAAACTTGGCGTATGGAATATTTCTGCAGTTGAAAAAAACTGAGAGAATCGTAGAATAAACAAAGGAGAACATGACTTTAAAAAAAAAGAGAACTGGGGAGTTGACAAAACTCTCCAGCAGGCTGCGGATCTAGTCATTGCAAAGGCACCCATCATTTCACTCAAGCAATTAGTCTTCACTCCAGTGTACTCTTGGAGACAAAAACAAGGTGAATGTCTGTGTGCGTGAGTATGTGTCTATTAGGGTGAGTGAGAGGCTTAGAGCCATTCTGTTTAATGTGCTGTGAAGAGCAGGCGAGGGCAAAGAGAGACAGAGAGCCAAGCGTCTGCATGCCCCTGTGTGTTTGCAATCAGCTGCACATCATAGAGAAACACTGAGAAACACCTGCAAACTTGCAATGTAACACCAAGTCATAAAGGCACAGAAAAAGACACAGAGCTATTCATACAAACTTTTTAGCCCCCCTCCTCTCCTATTTAGCTTGCCCAAGTGTCTGAAAATAGCTTCCACCCGTATAAGCATATCATTTTACTTCTACCAACACACATTCTGGTACATGAACATGCACACACTTAAGAACAAACAGGGGCACTTTATGCTGCACTGTTTCCATGAGTACAGGGAGTTCAAACTATTATTGAATCACTTTTATTAATAATAAAGGTGATTCAATAATATCTACTAGGTTATATGAACTTTTACTTAATACCTATAGTTCACTGGTTACTTTGAGATATATTAAAAAGTTAATGTCAGCAGAACAGGCGGTTCGTCACCTGTACTTATTTTTAACATTGACATAAAAAGTGTGGATCGGTGCAGTGTATATCTGAACAACAGATGTACACAACTACAGATCAGTAATCAAAGCTCTACATAGACATCTGTTCCTCGGGGCCGCACTGCAATTTACAGTAGATGATCTACTCTGCTGGCAAAGAGCTACACACAACCAACATTATCATTAACAAACTTATAGTCACAGTCTGTCCACTGTCATGCGGACAGAACTGCATAATTCAAACATCTGCAAACTACAAAAAAGTTTCATGCAAGTCTGTATCTATATAAAGCGGGACTTTTGACTGCAGCATTTTTGCTTCATCATTATGATACATTGGTGCTGTAGTTACTAAAAATGAACCCCACCAGCATACAGTAGTCATCCAGTGTTATACTGTAAATCATGCAGTATCATCAACAAATGCTATAATATATACTGTAGGGAAGGTTTACTTACACTAGAGCAAAACAACTATAACTGCAGCTCAACCTTACCTCCTCTCTCTTCAGTGTTCAGGGCAAAGTGCGCTTGAGTTCAAGTGAGATAGCACCTTATAATCCACGGGATGTATTGTGGTCAAAGGCTTGCCGCTTTTTCTTTTTTTTTTTTTGGTTTGTGTGTGTGTGCAGTACTCTGTGTGTTTTACAATCTAAGCATGCAGAACCCAAAGCCATAAAATGTAAAATGACTATGTACAGGCTGAGGGAACAACAGTATCAGCTTTGCACAGTCAATCCACACCACTGATAACTGCATGCCGGCATGCTTGTCTGGTCATAAGATTATGTGTGTTGTTGTTTTATGAAAGCTGGTACCTCTCTGTGACCAAATTTTTAAGTCATTTACACACACACACATGCATACACACTGGGATTTTTTATTTGTATGGTGTCAGTACAAAAAAAGAACTCATTAGAATAGCTTTCAAAGGTTTAGTTATGTTTGTGTTTTTCTGTACCAGAATTGTATTAATATAATTTTATGTTTAATCACATGCAGCCACATGACAAACTACAGTAGGTTATTATTAAAAGAGTATGTACAACTCAATGTTTACATGGTAAATGTATAGTTTAGCTTAGTGTAGGCTAACAAGAGCCAAAAAAGAAGAAGAAGAAGAAGAAGAAGAAGAAAGCCTAACACATTCCCAGAAGAAGGCAAATGATTATTTTTACACTTTAAAGGTGGAGCTGAACAAACTGTCTGTTTATTTAGCTGTTTAGGCTAGAACGCACTGCAAAGCCATGGTTTAAATTGTGTACAGTTTCTATGGCCAGACTTCCATTTCTGTCACTAGATTGATACAACTCTCATGTTTGCATGGTAAATAAATTGTTGGAGCCAGCAGCTGGTTAGCTTAGTGTACTAAGAAGACCCCAGAAAATGTCTGGCACATTAACATAAGAAAGCAGATTGTCATTTTTACACTTAGTTTTTTGTATGGATTTTTAAAAAATGATATATAATTTGCTAACTGAGCATTATAGGTGCTGGAAAGTGGGTTTTGCTACTTTGGGACAAGCTAGCCTGTTTCCAGTTTGTATCTAAATATTGGCAAGAAAATGAATAAACCTATTTCCCAAAATGCCAGCCTACTACTTTAAATGAATAAGGTAATGCATTACAGGTATCTCCATATAATCACAGAACCAAAGTTACTCTAGGTAAGTACCAGTCATTTGTACAAAATCTTCGACTTGTAAAAATGCTCCCCAGGATTTGTAGGGTGAAGATGGATGACTGCACCCTGTGCTGTGACTCTAACACAACGACACAATCATCATCATGTAGCAGTCATGTCATGTCATGAGAGTCAGTGGGAACCAAAGAAAACCAGAGCAGGCAGTTGGCCTTTTGCCTTGAAACAAACACTTCCACTGTTTGCCTTCTGAAAAGGAGATTAAATATGACAGGATGCAGTCTCCCTTTGTTCAACAGTGGTTTTAACTTGATGTCAAGTACATGAAATTTCTTGAGTTTGGTATTCAAAACACCCAGCATCTATGGCTGTGGATCCTTCCAAGGCAGAGCTGAGCACACTTCAAACTGTCTGTTTGTTTTGGTTTTTAGGCTAGAACAAACTCAAAAGCCATGGTTTAAGTTGTGTACAGTTTCTGTGGCCAGACATCTATCCATGTCAACACACTCTGTAGATGGGTGATGTCGCCAGTCCATGTCTTTCCCATCGACAGAACGAAGAGGATGAATGGAATGAACTACTCTCTATCTAGATTACCATGAATACCATGGAACCGTACAGTTGAAGAAGTCGACATAAGCCTCAGGTGAAAGTGTGTGAATGGGTCGACGTCGGAAAGACAGCAAAAGTCAGGGGTATAGTAGAAAGGCTTGTATTACTGTGTCCATAATTTGTCTTAGATCCCATGTGGGTAACTATGACATAATATATGTATGTGTGTATGGATGTAGGAGATGTGAAAGCGTCCAAGTCCCTTTCTAATCATTGTGCTCAGTCTCCTCAGTCTTTCTCTCGTTACAAATCCAATTCCACTCTGCCACTGCCAATTTCAGATCCTCTCCCTCTAGAATGCAGCGCCAGCCGATTTCAATAGAACAAACTGAAATTGGCAATTCACTCCCCTGTATCGATCCAGTCACTTTGAAACTAGGCACTCAACATTGAGAGCTGCCAACCAACCAAGTTTAGAGGGACCGTTGACAAATTAAAGGAAAAACCCAAATAAATGAGTGGTCTCCTCCAGGATGACCGTGCCCCCATCCATAGGGCACTATGTGTCACTGAATGGTTTGATGAGTATAAAAACGATGTGAATTATATGCTATGAATTTCACAATCACCAGATTTCGACCCAGTTGAACACTTATAGAGAATCTTGGATGGACATGTTAAACAGCGTGTTCATCCCTCCAGTAGAGTCCAGAGACTTGTAAAGTCAATGCCAAGGTGAATTCAAGCTGTTCCAGTGGCCCAACACCTAACTAAGACACTTTATGTTGGTTTTTCCTTTCACTTGTCATCCATCTATGTGTATGTTCATGTGTGTGTTTGTTTGTCTTATGTTAGGGTATAACAAGGGGCTGTCTACAGCATCTCCAAGAATTGTCTACCTAATACCAGAACTGACCAACCGATTTTACCAGGATGTTTTACACAGCACAGTCTCACATGAAAATGTACAATAGCTACACTCATCCACAGCTTAAAATATAGTAATGGATGTAAAACTGTGACATGCCAACATTTCTTCTAGTGTATTCTTTTATTTTGTAGCCCAGTGGATATTAAAGGTGAATTTGATCTATATAATGAAACAAATACTTTTCATCAGAAAGTGTTTTAGTCTACCCATGGGATTTCCCTAACCATGTGGTTTCTGTGTCTAAACGTAACCATAGATAAGGAATGTCAGCCATTGACTTTTGCTTTCGCTGGCAGAAACAACAGCCAAGTGACATGGGCGCAGGCCATTGCCATGTCACAACAAGCCGTTATTGTACGATCAGTACAGTTTGCATTGTGGACCAATGTAGCTATTCTACATTTTGATGCAGGACTGGGTTGGTTTTACATTAGATAAATGCATCTTAGTACTTTTAAACAGCTATTCACTACTAAAATGTTCTTTAATTGGTAACATTTAGAGTTGGAACACGTACTGCTGTGCCTTTTGCATTTTATTACTTTTTCAATGTTTTATCATCTACATTTCGATTTTGTAACTATTCTCTCAAAGCACCATAAAACGCTCTCAAGGTCTCTGTGTGACAAATGTGGTTATACTGATTTTTATCTGGCATTGGCTCTCAGACTGTCTCTACTCTAGGTTCTTCCCTCCACTGCCAGGTCTATTAATAATTGACCATATAAAGTTACAGCAAAGTACTGAGACTACTGTTCTAATGCACCCTCTCAGTCTAGTGCCTGCTCTCTTTCCAGGTTGTGATTAAAACAAACAAATAAAACGACAAACAAAAAGGAAATTCCGTCATTATTTTAAGCTATTACAGTTACATTTTTCTCAAAAAAAAGTGCCATAACACTTTTTATGCACAGCTTAGTAATTCTTACCCTTGAAGCTCTAAATAAGGGTGCGTTAATCACTT